AGGGCCGGGCTGCTCAGGGGCCGCACAGGGGCCTCCCGAAGCAGCCCCAGGCGGAGGACGGCTGCTCTAACACACCCAGTGGATCGCACACACTGATTTTCTTTTTCTTTCTTTTCTTTTTTTACAGGGAAACACTAGAAAACTAGTTTCTTCTAACTATGGTCATTAGTTAGTCATTACTTTGAATGGTATTTCTTAAACCTGGATTCAGAGAATTTCAAAGTAAGAAGAATTTTTTTGTATCACTAGGGCAAAAATTCCCTTTCTAGAATGGATCAAATACTTGGATTTGGCCATTATGTTTGAGCTCCTATCGATCCACAGCCTTGCGCTGCCGCCCCAGCTCAGGCACAGGCCCTGGAGCCTCACGGGGCCCGGAGGTGGGGCAGGAGACGGGAGCATGGACGGGTCAGGCACCCACCTCGACTTCGCCTGTGGTGCTGTCAGGGGGCCCTGAGCACTGACCGCACAGGGGCCAGGGGCCAGCCCAGGTCCTGGGCCCTCCTTCAGCTGTGAGTGTGAGCCCCACAGGACCTACCCTGGCAGGTGGGCCAAGCAGAGGGACGGGATCCTGCCCACGGGCCCAGGACGCCAGGCCCGGGCAGCTCGGCGGCAGCCCTGCTGTGCCTGGGTCACGGACAGAGCAGAGGCTGCAGAAGTGGGCCAGTGCTGGCTGCACAGCGGGAACCAGAGCCGTGTCCCCAAGCCTGCTCTGTGCCTCCCAGGGAGGGGGAGGCAGGGGCTCACCCACCTGGAGGTCGGAAATGTCCATCTTTTCCCGGACACTGAACTTCTGGCCCAGGAGCCGCGGTTTGGGCACGCAGTAGAGGACCATGCTGTTGAACTTCCACAGGGACAGCAGGGTGAGGGGCAGGCTGCTGCCAGGGGCCCTCAGAGAAGGCTGGGCAGGGGCAGGGTTGGGGAGCGGGGGGGGGGGGCGGGACGGGGAGGGGGGCAGGGCTCACCAGGAAGAGGTGGCGGTCCTGGGCGGCGCCCGTCTTGGCCGACAGCTTCTGGATGTGGCCCTCCTTGATCAGCTCGTTGGCCGGATTGACCACAGCCTCCTCCCCGCCCAGCTGCTCGTACACTTCCAGGAGCTTGTGCATTTTCTCCTGCAGGACACAGGCCAGGCGGCTGTGCGGCCCGTGGCGAGGCTGCGGGGCCTCTCAGGCCTTGCTTCCCACTCCACGAGCCCGAGAGCCCAGACCGCCATCCGTCTGCCGCTCCTCTCCCTCTGGCCCATGACTGGCTGGTGGCAACATGACCAACCAGTGCCCAGGGGTGCGATGGGAGAGTCGGCGACTGTGGCCCCAGCTCTGAGCCAAGAGGCCCTGGGCCTGACCTGTCACTCCCACGGGGCCTGAGCCAGGAGTGAGGGGAAGTGCAGTAGAGGCAGCAGCACCCGAGGGACCCCGGCCCACACACTGCAGCAGCCTCTGCCCTCGAGCCTGAGTCATCTCAGCCTGCAAACTTCAGGAGC